CCAGGAAAACGCAACATTGTTAAGACGCAAATCAAACCAGGAAAACGCAACATTGTAAAAACGCAAATCAAACCAGAAAAACACAACATTGTAAAATTGCAAATCAAACCAGGAAAACGCAACATTGTAAAAACGCAAATCAAACCAGGAAAACGCAACATTGTACAGACGCAAATCAAACCAGGAAAACGCAACATTGTACAGACGCAAATCAAACCAGAAAAAGGCAACATTGTAAAAAAATTAACCACACCAAGAAACATTAACAAATAATGCAAACCAATCAAGAAAATGGAACATTGTAACAAACAATATACACCCAAACCAAGAAAATGCCACATTGTAACAAAACAAACTAAACCAAGAAAATGTAACATGGTAACAAGTAAGGCAAAACAAATTAATAAATGTAACATTGTAACAAGAACACAAACCAAACCAAAAAATGTAGCATGATAAAAAGAACAAACCAAGAAAAGCAAACTAAACCAAGACGAAAATGGAACATTGTAACAAGTAACGCAAACCAAACCAAAAAAAAGTAACATAACAAAATGAACCAAATCAAGAGATGTTGTAACAAATAAAGCAAACCAAACCAAAAAGATAAATAGAACAATGTAACAATTACACAAAAATGGAACATTATAACAATACAAACCAAGAAAATGTAACGTGTCAACAAGTAACGCAAATCAGACCAGGAAAACGCAACATTGTACAAACGCAAATGAACCAGGAAAACGCAACATTGTAAAAAAATGAACCACACCAAGAAACATTGTAACAAATAATGCAAACCAATCAAGAAAATGGAACATTGTAACAAAACAATCCAAACCAAGAAACATTGTAACAAAAAAGCTAAGTAAACCCTCACAAAAAATGGAACATTGTAACAAATAACGCAAACCAAACTAGGAAAATGCAACATATCAACAAAACAAATCAAACTAAGAAACATTGAAACAAACAAATCAAACAAAACTACATTAAGTATTTTTTAGCGTTTCTGAACAAAGCAAACAATGACCAAAATCAGTCTAGCCCTCTGCAAATAATTTCAGTTCATTAAATACAGATTCATCGGAAAGATCCACGTCTACTGCCTGGGAGATGTGGCATATTTTATACGATCTTATATTTTATAAATAAAACAAAATAATGCAACTAGAATAATAAGAAATGACACAGAAGCTCTGCAGAGGTGGCACAGGCAATGTATGTGTGTTTGTACAATTACGAGATGAACATTTTAAATGGATAAATATGACAATCCTGTTAAACCTAAAGCATGTTTGTGTGGTAGTACATCATAAATTACTCAACTAATTTAGTTAATTCTGTGAATTTTTTCACAGCTGAAAAATTCCAAATAAACCAAAATCATAGTTTATACAAAATACTCTGGAAATAAATCTGATTAATAATAATAATAATAATAATAATAATAATAATAATAATAATACCTGTTGTGCTGCTGCTGTTGTAGCTGCCGCTCTGTCTGTTCTCTTCAGACTCCTGGTAACAGATACAGAACAACACTTTCAAACAACATTACATTTTATTCAACAAAGGGTCTTAAAATATATATATTTAAACATTCATAATAATCAGAAATGCTATTGAAAATACAGCTTTACATCACAGAAACAAAACACATTTGACTATATATA